AACAAGGACCAATGACTGGGACAAATACGTGCAGCAACAAAAACATCACTGTTTCCCAGTACAGATGCACCACTCCCCCTGAAGGACAGTAACAGTAACAAATAATAATCATGCATTATCTCATGATCTAGCCATGGTCACTCCATAAGGTCGATTCTCATATTCCTGTTTTACTGGTGAGCAGACTGTGGTTAGAGACCAGCCCGGAAACAGAAACTATTCCAGCAGACAGAATGCAATACAGGGGTGAGTCATATTCAAATGAGAAAAATCCAGAATCCAAATGGGACAATGACAAGGCATCCCAAAGGTTAGCCACAGTGAGAAGCCACTGCTACCAGGGGCTGAAGGATAGAGGGAGAAGTGGACAGGCCCACAGAAAGCTGCTCCACTGAGAGAGGAGCTGGCGGGTGGGAACCAGGTAGATGGAGAAGACACCACATAGGCAGAGATGTCACTGTGATACTGTGCTCCTCTTCCCTTCCCTCCTTCCTCTATTCCACCTGGGGCTCCAAGTGCCAGAACCTATAGGAAGACAACTGGCAAGGGAGCCTGGGAAATGTAGTTCTCGGAAATAAAGAACTGGGAAGGGCAAGAAGTGGATCTGAGAATGAATGCCAATGGTGCTCATGGTGCCACAGCTATTATGTTGCAGAGCCAGGTATGGAAATGACCTGAATCTATCAACCTGTGGCATTGAAGAAGCAACAGGGGAGGTAAGAGGTGGCCCAAAGTGGCAAATGGTGGGACTAAGATTGGTTAAAGTGGGGTGTCTGCACAGAGGAGTGTTGACAGCTCCAGATTTCTCTGCCAAGAATGTGATACAGACAAGCAGGGAGGGAGCTGCACACCCTGACACCACCACATACTTGGGCCTCTTAATAGGAACACACAGGACAGCTACTTTCTCCAAGCCCATCCTTTCATCCACTCATTCAGTGTCCACTGAGTGTGGCCGCTGTGGACATACAAAATGAAAACTAATGCTTCAAGGGCTAAGGAGAATCTAATCCTCACTCCTCAAATTCTGAACCAATGGAACACAGCCAAAAAGGCAAGGGATAGGGCAATAAGTCAGTTCCGCAGGAACGGAGGAGTGAGGGACTCACATGGCCTAAAGCCCAAGTAGTGGACTTGCCCAGCTCAACATCCTCCCATCACTCCTCATTCCCAGTGTCTCCAGGTACACGGGCCCCTCCTCCTCTTCCTGTGGGGAAAGGCAAGCAAGGATCATGACAGAAGAAAAGATTCTCCTACAGAAATGTTCCTTGGGGGCTGGGGATTTAGCTCAGTGGCACAGCACATGCCTGGCAAGTGCGAGGTCATGAGTTCGATTCCTGGTACTGGAAAAAAAACAAAAAACCAAAAAAAAAAAAATTTTCCCTGCATTGGAGGTGGAAGAAGTGGCTGTCCTGAGATGTGTGAGAAACAGGAGCCAGGAAGAATGTGTCTAAAACATCACACTCAAAGCAGAAGCCCCGTGCACATCCATATCATTAGTACCTGAGTGACCAATGTGTCAACGTGCAATCTCAAGCCACATTTAGTGTGTCCCCAACTTGTCACAAAGGGTAGTTCAGAGTAGAGCTAAAGGAATCCCACAGACGTCAGTGAAAAATCTAGTTTCCTTCAACATCTAGTTTCCTTCCTCGTAGGGTTTGGAAAATTAGTTATTCTCTCATGATCCTTAGTTTCCTCACCAGTAAAATGAGGCCGGTACCTACCTCATCCAAGGTCTTAATATAGATTCCTGAGAAAACAGTTGGAAGCAAAAGCTTACATACTAAGATTAAACCATCAAAATCAAAAACCTTATGCTTCTAAGGGCACCACAATAAAGTGAAAAGATGACACACAGAAGTGAAGAAAAGTTTTCCAAATCACGTATCTGAAAAGGGACTTATACTAGAATATAAGTAATAGTAGAATTCAGTAATAAAAAGCAATACCATTAAAAAATGGGCAAAGATGAACAGACACTTCACCAAAGAAGCCATGCAAATAGGCAAGAAGCACATGAAAAGATGCTCAGCGTGACCAGCTCTAAGGGAAACACAAAGCAAAATCACAGTGACGGAGCACTTCATACCCACAAGGACGCCTGTAATAAAAAAGACATCAGGTGTAGGTTGGGAAAACTGGAACCAACATACACTGTTGGTGGCTAAGCAAATAGATGCCACTACTTCAGAAAACAGTGTACAATGTACAGGGCTAAAATGGTAAAATACAGAGTTACCATGAGTAAAATCTCACAATTCCACTCCTAGGCATATACCCAAGGGAAATGAAAACATACACAGATGTCCAAATTTGTATATGAATGCTCATATCATTTATAATGGCCAAAAAGCAGGCAGAATTCAAATGTCTCATAAACTGATAAATGGACAAATATGTGATAGATTGAGACAATGTTTTGATATACAATTAGAGATGGGTAATAAGAATAATACTCAATACATTCTGAGCACTTCTATGTGCCAGTCTCTATGTATCTGTCTAATTCTTGGATATCGTTAACATTATTGTCCTCCAGGTTGTACAGTAAGTACGTGGAAGAACCAAGTGCAAATCCCGGCAGGGTTCCTCTGAGCACCCTATTACTCTCCTCTGATCCTGGACGAGAAGTTAGACTCAAGCTGAAAGCTCCAAAGAAAAAAGTCCAAATTGCCTAGTGGAACAGCCCGTAATAGGCTCCTCTCAGTACTCTGCAGCTATAACTATTGCAGCCCTGCGACATGCAGCCCTAACTATTCTCAGAAGCTGTGTACACTCTCAGCTTCTAGGAATGTCCAGGCTGACCTCCAAGCAGGCGACAGACCACTGGGAAAATGAGCAGAAGCCAGGATCTGGACCATGGCTGGAAAAAAGCAACTAGCAGTAAGCAATTTCCAGACAAGCTTGGGTTGAAGAAACCTGAACACACAATAAACCAGGCCTCGGGTGATATGAATCAGGTCAACCAAGAAGTGATTTCAGTAGTAACAATCTGGGAGAACAAAGTCAATCCAAAGTATGGCAGATTTCTCTAGACTGTGTTCAAGAAGAGTTCAAAGAACTTCATAAAGTATCTAAACAAAGTTAAAATCATGTGCAACAAATGCTTTCCAAAGCCCACCCTAATCTTCCTACTACTCTACTGAAACGGCTTGCCAGGATCACAATGGCCTCCCACGGCGGAATCCAGTGGCCAGGTTTTAGCCTTCATAGCTCAACTCTTGGCAACATTCAACATTGCTATTCGTTATCTGCTTGAGACGCTTTCTTCACTTTCCTCTACAATGCATCCTTACTCTTTTGCATTATTGGTTGTTCCTCCTTGATCCTTCCTACAATTTGGGTATAAGTTGTGTCCTCCAAGGGGTCATTTGTTGAAATTTAACCCCCATCACCAGGTACGAGCCTGTCACCTCCAAAACTGTGAGCAAAAGCAACCTCTTTTATTATAATGTGCTCAGCCTCAGAGTATTTCATCATAGTAGCACAAAACATACTAATACAGTGTCCTCTGTTAGGTTTATGTCCTTCCTGATCCGTTCATTGTAAAGAACTCACGCTCACTGTTGTGCACTTATTGCCACTTAAGTTTACTCCTCTCTGCCCAAAGCCACCCTTCACTGACTACTGTGCCAGGTGAGCTGGAAGCATTTTTCCTGCATAGCTGAAACTACGCTCAGTTCTGTCTACAGACACCTCAAAAATTATTAAGTTTGGTTTCTAAATAGAATGGAAGCTATCAGTTCTCCTGAAATTTAAGTGTATCCTCAGCAAGACCTTTAAATGACAGAACTGTTTCTTCATTTGAAAAGTGAAAGCCATCCATCTTCGATATTCTTAGCATGAGACAGAGCACTGCACGTGGGGACTGGGTAACTTGTGCAGGTGCTACCAACAGCTGGATTTGTGCCCAGCTCCAGCTGTGCTGCACTCCAGCACAATCAGTCCTATCTTCCCAGGGCACCCATCTTCTTTACTGTAGCATCTGGATACAGTCACCCTCAAGTATAGTGACAATAACTCTTAAAAACCCCTCCAAAAGTTATAGGAATTACCATAAGACCAAGCCACCTCACCCCTGGATATTTATCTGGAAGAACTGAATACTGGTACATAAATGTTCACAACAGCCAAAAGGGAAAATAGCCCAAGTGTCTATCAACAGATCAATGAGTACACAAAATTAGTTTATACATATAATGGAAGATTATCCAGCTATAACAGGAGGAAAATCACCCACACATGCTAAAACATGAACATTAAAAACATTATGCTAAGTGAAAGGAGCCAGATGTAAAAGGTCATAAGGTGTATGGCTTCACCTATACGACAGACCCAGAGAGCTAACTTCATAGAAACCGAATGCAGATGGGTCACTGCCAAGGGCCAGTGGGGTGGGCTGGGGGGATAGAGAGCAACTGCTTAAAGGGCACTGGATTTTATTCTGGAGCAATGGAATAGATTATGGTTGTACGACACTGAACGTGTAAATGCCACTGAGCTGCTCAGCTCCAAATGGTTAATTTCATGTGAATTTTATCTCACTAAAAAAAGAAGAAAGAAAACAGGAGAGAAGAAACGAGGGAGGAGGGGAGGGAGGGAAGGAGGGATGGAGAGAGAAAGCAAGCAAACCTGTAGTAGATTTTATAACCTGCAGGGATCTGGTGACAGTTCTGGGCTTAGTCCTGCCACTCACTGGCAACAAGGCTAAGTGTCTCCCGGGGTCGCAGTTTGCTGATCTGCAAAAGGACCCGGTTAGGTTACATCACAGGTTCTCACCCAGAGGAGGCCTAAGCCAGTCACGCAGCGAGCAACTTCTCCCCACTGTCTGACACGCCCAGGACAGGCGCAGGCCTGTTACTTGTGGAAAACACTCATTTCAGGGTTTACCCCTCACACTTGGAAAACACTACAAGAGCCGCCGCCAGCAGCCCGATTCCACCACACACATCTGCAACCACTCTACGCAAGGCGGGGTTTGGTTAAAGAAGACAACACAGTGAGTGCAGTGCATTTATTTGAAGGAAAAAAAAACAAAAAAAAAAAACACTCCGAAGACTCACAAGTAGTTCTCTTGTGAACGGAGCCCCTGGCCTGGGGGCATTTGGCAACTGCAGGAAAAAAAGGACACCATGACAGAATCCACAGCATTTTTTGCTCACACCACAGAGAGTTTTAAGGCAGTTTAATTCAAGGCCACTACAACTACATCTACAACAGAAATGTGACACTCAAAGATAACTTGGCCCTCAATGCCCCTGACAGCAACAAGTCACCATGCTAGTGAAGACGACAGCCACTGTCGGGGGCAGAAGAGTCTCAAGCACAATCCGACATGGCACCGACACGGATAGGCTGTTCGGGGACCTCCTCTGCAGTCCAACAGTGCGACCGTAAATGCAGGCCTCCAGCCGCACCTGCTAGCTCCCACAAACACATTATGACATCCAGAGCAGATGCACAGATGGTGAGAGGAAACAGGACTCGCCACCTCGAACCACAGACAGGACAGGACACAGGGACCAGGCGTGGCGCACTGGGACAGGCTGGTGGCTCCTCTGGCGGCTCCTCTTAGGCAGAGTGAAGAAGCTTAAAAATACGCTGGGGTAAGCTCTGTCTTGCCTTCCGTGGTTACCACCTGGATCAGGCTTCCTGAGCTGGGTCGGTTTTTCCCTGTGATCCAGTCATGGAAGGTTCTACAACAAAGAAGACATGTTTTACAGTTGCAAAGCAGAAGTCTGGGCACTTGCCCACATTCACACCAGTGCCTGCGGAAAGGGCGACGTAGCTGTGACAATGACACTAGCACAGAACCAAGGCCCCGAAGAGTCCCTGAGGTACCTTGCCCGTCTGATTTCTGAGTGGCAGAGTTGCTGTGACATTAACTTTCTTTTTAGATATACAGATATATAATAATTACACTCATCTTGGGGAATTGGTACACAGCACATCTTGATCATTTTTACTTCCCTTTTCAACTTTCCCCCTTTCAACTCTCATTTTTCTGTTTCTCTGCATGGTCAGGACCCTTTGTAACATGGTGGTATGATTTTAAGTGATTAAAAAAGATGTCGCTGATTCTAGGAGACAGACACACAACACAGACGTCCCTCGGTGTGTGCAGGAGATTGGTTCCAGGACCCCCAAGATACCAAACTCCAAGGATGCTCCGAGGATGCTGATATAAAATGGTTTAGTGCTTACACACAACGCATGCACAGCTTCCCAAGTGCTTCAAGTCACCTCTGTAGATTGTAAGTAACACTACTATCACCTAAGAGCTATGCGAACAGTTGTTAGACTGTACTCCTTCAGGAATAATGACAAGCATGTATACGGTTAGTACAGAAGCCATTTCTTTCCAATTATTTTCAGTCAAGGTTGGCTGAATCCAAGGATATGCAGAACCTACCTAGAGCCAACTGTACATTATAATGTCTCAGAAATTTAAAAGGGAGAAAGAGGAAATTCATTTTTTAAACACAGACTTATGAGGCACTCAAGGCTGTGCCAAACAATGGAAAAAGAAATATAAAAAAACCAGACTATCAGAATACAATTAACGAAGTACAGTAGTGGGGAGCACATAACAAGAACTCTGTGGACAGGAGCAACAAGCCCTGCTTGGAGCAGCCGGAAAATCCTCTCTAGGAAAGATAAAAACTGAAAAAGGCACAAGGAATAGCTACAAAGAGATGATAATTTTTTAAAAGCTAAATATTTGTGTGTACTACCCACTTTCACAATTCACTACTGAAAATTCAAACCTCCTCTGCCTGGAGCGCTCTTGGGCACTCTTGGGATATTCTGTGGTGCCGATCTGTAACTTCAAGGCTAGGTCTGATGGTCAGCTAGATAGAGGTCACTCGATCCCCCTCTCTGGGGTTGCACAAGCCAAGAGAAATGCATGGCTCAAAAATCAAAGCACTGCTGAAACTCCCTAAAACACAGTAAGTGCATCGGGAACCATCCATCTCTCAGGCAGGGCAGAGCTTCGCTGGTGGCTCTGAGAGACCACTTGGAGTGTAGGAGTTCCTGTGTTGGCCATGTTCGTTTTAAATCAGTTCCCCGTCACCTTCATCAGTAGTTCGGAACAGATCAGGGAGAACACCGTGTTAGTTAATCCTGGGTGGCAAGCAAGGCAGTGTGCTCACAGACACTTCAAAGCACACTGCACACCAACTTCTCCAGCGAGTTTTCAAATACCACAAATGGGTGCGCACGGCTTCTAGAACAAAAGATGCCTGTGACAGGGCTTTCTGCGGCCTGTGGCTAGGCACGAATTCACACATGAATGCCTAAATGTTTTGCCTAGAGTCTAGATTCTCAATCAGTGTCTCTTTTGAGGGTTATTTGGGGTATTAGCTTTTTAAAAGAATTCTACTGCAACTGCAATTCGAAGTGTGGTCTCTTCCAAACTTCAAACTTCTTATTTTTTATTTCTGGGAAATCAAGGACTGGATTCAACATGATTGCTAGTGCAAGTCTGTGGCTGCACAGACCTGCGGCCACACTGCCTGGGTCAGATATCAGCACTCCTGTGCAACCAGAGGCATCTACCCATCACCCCCACACACAATGTCTCCAAGTGCCAAGGGTCTGCAAGGAGAGCCTGCCATGAACATGAAACAATAGGAGATGCTTAGAATGGTGCTTAGCATGTAACAAGTGGTACGTATGTTCTTGTCTCAAACAGAAAATACAAGTCCCAATCCTCCCCCGATTTAATTTAAATAAGATTATAACATTAGGCCCAAAGAACATCCCAAACTCTGCAGCATCCTATACAGCTATCAAACCAGCTGACACACTGGGGAAGGTCGTCTCCTTCACCTTCAGACTTCCTAAGCAGAGGATCTAAGAAAGTGAGAGGGAGCAGCTCTTTCTCCTGCGAGCTTTCCAAGGCCACCATTTTCACAGGCAGGTGAAAGGACTTACGCAAGGACCGCGTGCTGTGGCTGGGCACTGACTGCAGCCTGAGGCCCCGGACCTTCCCGCAGTGTCCGACTGCTGCCCAGCTGCTCCCAGTTACACCGGCAACGGCAGGAACAAGAGCTGAGGTTTACCACACATTTGCTTTTGGGTTGGACACTGCCAAGGGCTTAGTGCACGCCACCATTCACCCTCCTAACCATTATTATGGACCTCGGTCTACGGACTGGTAAACTAAGGCCTAGCACAATTAAATAACATGCTCTGTTTAACAGGACGGAGAGAGAGGGAGCCAGGGCTCACATCAGCACTATGGATCCCTCTCCTCTAGATTCAGACCGACGTGCCTTAAATCCTCCCAGGCTCAGAAGCTACACGAGCCCACCCCTGCATTATGGAGAACACGGGCTTGTCTGGCACACCATAAACGGCAGAGAACGGGGGCGGGAAGCTGCTGAGTCACACGAGGATTGTAGGACTGTGATACTCACTCAACTAGGAATTCTAAGGGAGTCCAGGAGCTGAAGTCAGCATCAGGCATTGATTTCCTGTTCATCGGAGTATCTAGGGTAACCCTGCAACGGACAGAGATAAGCTAGTCATTTGTGTATTCTTTACAGTAACTGGTGCCCGGGCTTCCTCCACCAGGAAAATGCAAACATGCAACATCACCGCTGTGAGCCTCCGGCACCAAGCATGACATTTACGTGAGAGATCAGACAGAAGGATAACCAGAGAGAGACCAGGAAGCTGACTACATCAACAAAAAGCACATCTGAGCAGAATTCCCCGCCTGGGACAGCTGCCTGGGGACATGCTGATCACACACAGAAACGAGCCCCAGAGTTTCCATATCCCCCCCGACACCCAACCCCACACCGCCACCCAGGCCTGGCCCCCCAACACACACACACACACCCTCTGACCTTATTACAACTGTAAACTACACACAGTAAAATAAAACAGCAGTGCATTTTTAAAGGAAGTAAAAAGGGAGAGAGGAGAGAAAGAAAAAAAGAAGTAAAAAAAGCAAACCCGTCCCACCAGCCAATCAACCATTCCAGACAAGAAGCTAATGGGCTCAACACGTGGCCCACCCAGATTCACGCTGAAAACAACATCTGCAGTGCGGTACTAAGAGCTGGGGCCTTTAGGAGGTGACCAGGTCACGAGGCTCCGCCATGTGGGGTGGGGTTAGCAGCCTTCGAGGAGAGGCTCAGGGAGCCCTTCTTCCTTCCAGTGTGGTACCACAGGGAAGGCACCATCCATGAGGAACAAGCTCTTACCAGACACCAGATCTTCTGGTGCCTTGAACCTGGGCCTTTCCAGTCTCCAGAACCACAAGTAATACATTTCTCTTCCCTACAATCAACTCAGTCAGCCTAGGGTATTTTATGATAGCGGTAGGAAGAGACTAAGGCGAGTATCTTAAGGGACTCTGGTGAATTTTAGACTTGCAGGAGGTGCACACACAAGTTCTGGTGGGAAGTGCCTTGCGGACGAATACAGCCCTCAGCAGTGGACAGAGGCGGAGACCCCAGGCACCTACGGGAGCACGGCGATGGCGGCGGCCCGGGGCGGCAGGCCGCTGTTCTTCCCCGCCAGGCTCTGGCAGAGCTGGTGGACAGCACCCTTGGCCATGCCGTAGCCGATCATCCCTGGAAGATGGGAGAAAGCATCCTGGTTACCACTGGCCACCAGAGTGACAGCAACAAAGTGACAGCAGGGATGTGCAGTCCTCAATTCTCCCAACAGCGGCTCTGGCCTTCCCGCCGTGGACGCCAGCCTGGCAGTAAGGAGCAGCGGGAAGGGTCCTGCACCTGAAACTCGGAGCAGTGGCGTCTCGCTCCTACTCTACGAGGACTGTAGCAACCACAGATTCTCTGGGCCTGTCATCCTGTGTGTCATGGGAACTGTAAATGCGAACCCAGACCTCGATGTATTCACAAGGCTGCACGAACGACCCAAGGAGATGGCACCCAGCAAAGAACCCTTAGCACTGGGCAGGTGGGCATGGCACAGGGGCTGCTGATTGACCAGATGGGGCAGGGGGCGTGCTGTCATGTAGAATGGACCTGGCTCTGTCCCTTGCCCGGAGACACTCTGACGGTGGCTGGTACAGAAAGGGAAGGGTGTTTTTCCCGCTCTCCCATCCCGTCCCCACTATTCCTGCACGGTTCTCACAGGATCAAGCAGGTACCTGCTGCCCGTTGGGAGCATTTCCTTCCTTATCAGCTACAGGAAGAGGCGGCCCGTGCTTTCTCTGACACACCATCCTAGCCTTGCTGCTCCACATAGTCCTCACACACGACCGACCTGCTCAGTGACCGAGGTGCACTGTTCTGACTTACCACCCACTGCTCAGACTCATGGCTGGTCTTTTTTGATACAGTTCTGTACATCTTAATAGAGCCTCCATGGCTTTTTTTTTTTTTTTGGTACAGTACACCTGTTTATACACCATGTTTATACTATAATCTTTGCTGATTGTATTATAGTTTTATGTTCTCTTATACATTACAGTACTGCATGTAAGAGCTAGGGTAGGCCGGGTGTGGTGGCGCATACCTGTAATCCCAGCACTTGGGAGGCTGAGGCAGGAGGATCATTGCGAGTTCGAGACCAGTCTAGGCTACAAAGTGAGCTCAAGGCCTGCCTGAACTGCATAGCAAGACCCTGTCTCAAAACAACAAAAAAAAAAAAAAGAAAAGAAAAGAAAAGAAAACCGCTAGGGTAAAAGCAAAGGCGCTAAGTTGGAGTTTCCTCTGACCATTTCTTTGTTCTGAGTCTTGTAATGTACATGCTATATACAATTCCCCATTTAAGGACCTAGTCACAGGAACTGAACTCGGCTGTTAAGCGGGGAGCGTCTGTATTTCTTTATTCCCATCATGCGCTCCTGCCACAGCTCTGCCGCCTACAAAGCCAGGACCACAAGTGTGAGCTCGGCCTGGGCAACTTAGTAACTCAGCAAGACCCTGTCTCAGAATAAAAAAAAATTTGAAAATTAGAAATAAAAAAGGTCTGTGATGTTACTCAGTGTAAAAGCCCTGGATTCAATGCCCAGTACCAGAAAAAAAAATTATAACAAAGAACAGAGCTTTGTTTCATTAAAACTACAAAGTCCTTCCTAGTGACTCCTTAGTGTCTCAATATTCCACACAAACTAACTTTAAGTAATAACTATTTAAATAAAAAAATAATACGTGTCTTCTCAGCTTTTCCCTTAAGCTCTGTTTGTCAAATTCCTGGACCCTGACCACATCAGCTCCTGTCTGGTTTCTATCTAGATGTCCTCCAGGAGCCTTATGCGCGCATGTGTGGGCTTCGGAAAAGTGACTGGATTAGGGGACAACAGAACAGACTCGCAGTAGGAGGCGGAGCCTGGCCGGAAGGAGCACTCACTGTGGGTGTGACCCGGAAAGGCGGATCTCTTTCCCTGGTTCCACCTCTCTGTGTTCCTGTCCTCACCACGGGCTCCCTCTGCATCTGTTCACCATTCCTTGAGCAACCCTCCTCTTCCCTGCCCCTCTGCCATGCCATCCTGGCTTAGAGCCAGCTGACCAGGGACTACAGTGTGAGCTAAAATAAACGGGGGTGCTCTGTGTCCCAGTGATGAAAAGTGACTAAGACAGCTTCCTCCACAGAACCTCCCGCAAGGGGAGCATCTCTCCCCTCTGCTCCCCGGGGGCATCTTCCCTAGATCTTGATTTAGCACAGTCTGCCACACACATGCACGGCCCGCACCCCAACTGCCGTGGCAGCACTCACTTCCGTGACTGAGTCAGTCCTCGGTGTAGCCTTTGGATGACGCTCCGCTACTTCCTAGCCAAGGGTCTGGGACGAGTTTCCTACAACCACCGAACTTTGCTTTTCTCATCTGCCATCAAGGAACAACTGCACCTACTTTATAGGCACCTCTGGTGATGAAATGACATCAAAGATGCAGAGGGCTTGACCCAATAGGCCCAGCATGTGGGAGGCAGATGCCTAAAAAAATTATACTTTTTAAAGACAAATTTACTGAGGTATGATTGATATGCAATAAGTTTTCCTTATTCAAGGTATACCATTTGCACAAACTTTGATACATGCATACATGCTGCCTGTAAATCTCCCTCTCTGCCCACTATTCAGTATTTGCTGACCGAAGCAAGGGATGTCTTTCAGCAGGGTGGGTCTGTCTGCCCCACTGGCAGATGGCTGAATGAACTCTCACTCCTGTGTTCCCCACTGCACCCAAATGCAGCTGCTCACGGGATGCTGCTACCATGGCAACAAAAAAGAGTGATTAATTACAGTAAACCTCTCCCCTCCTTGGGAAAACCACTCTTCCTTCCAGAGATGGGCAGCTTCTCTAAGCCCCCAGCACACCCATGCCAAGGGCAATGGCTGAGGAGGCACCCACGTCCAGAGGGTGGGGTCACGGTGCACCCAGAAACTAATCACTAACCCACTTCAGCAACAACTTTAAACTGCCAGAGGGTCAAGGTCTCAAAAAGTTGTTTGGGAGCACAAAAAGAGTATTTCACCATCCTTAGCTCTCTTTTTACTCAGAGGGCAGGAAGCCAAGCTGATATAAAATGCAACAAACTTAGCATAGTCTCAGAACTCTCTTTTCATTCCACAAACAACACAAGAGTTGGGAATCTGTGGACAGAAAGAAACAAGCAACCAGCAACCCTATCGGCTTAGTTCTACAGAACACCGCCTTCTTCAGGCACACGATGTGGGTTAGAGATCATGTACAAGATATGAAAGAGGGGCCCAACGCTAAGAACATAAACGCTGCCTTCCAAATTGTAAAATGACCAGTGTGGTTCCTGAAAAGTGCGTTCCACTCACAGCACAGGTCATTCACAGGTCATCAAGAGATTCCCCAACACTGTAACACAGTTTATTCTGCAGACATTCCGCAAACGCGGCCTTGGAAATGGGCAGGGGGCATTTACTCAGTGTCTTTCCTCGTAAAACTATTTCATTTCCGGACATATCTTGGGTTTGAGGAACTGACTACTAAGCCTGACTCATCATTTACTTTCAAAATACAGATTTCCCCACATTTTGGGGGGACTCTGAACCAAAATTAAAAGGTCTCATGGCTCAAATTAGTTTAACAGCATCTAACCTAAGAGTTTAAAGATAAACAAGCTTATTATCCAAAACAGGAGTCGCTGGGCAAAAGTAAGCCTGAAACATATAGTAATAGTTCACATTTCCCAACATTCTCTTAGCGACTTCCAGGGCCATTTATATCCATTAATATAAGTCACATCCACCACATAAGGAGATGTTATTAATCCCCCTCTGAACAAAACCAAAGCTCAGAGTGATTCACTAACTTGCCAAATATGCAATAGTAAGTGTCACAGCCACAGGAGACCACAGGCCTGGGGGCACCTAGAGCTCCACCGCTATCCAGAAATATACACAAATACACAGATGCCCCTCAACATATGATTAGGCTGCATCCAATTATCCCACAGTAAACTGAAAATATAGAAGGGTCAAAAATGCATTTAGTGCACTGACCTACTAAACTTCGTAGTATAGCCTAGCCTACCTCAGACATGCCCAGGACACCTACATTAGTCTACATTTGGGCAAACCCATCTAACACAAAGCCTATTTTATATTCATGACTAACTTGTGTAAGTTACTGAACGCTGTTCTGAAAATGAAAAGAAAAATCGGTATGCTTTCTTACAATTATGAAGTCAAGAAACTGTTAAGTTGAATCACTCTAAGTTGGGGCCATCTGGCCTTACAAATAAAAGGAAAGTAAAAGAGTGTTTTGTCCTTTAGAAAAAAATGCAGTCTTAGCTGTTTGTGGTGGCACGCACCTGTTATCCCAGTACTCAGGAGGCTGAAGCAGGAGGATCAGTGCAAGTTTGAGGCCAGTATGCGCTACACAGTGAGTCCAAGGTCAACCTGAACTATACAGTGAAACCCTGTCTGAAAAAATTTTTGAAAAAAAGCAAGAAAAAATGTAGTCCTAAAGTTTTGTTTTTCAAACGTCAAACCACTGCTCATTTCTCTACTTACTTTCTAATGCCTCTGTCACCTTTAATATAAATCAGATCTCAACCAAAAGTACATCTAACATTTACACAGCTTTAATCATTGCAACTGCCACAAGCTTGTAAGAGCATATGCTGAGAACTATAATAACAAAACCAGTGGCAAGAAATTGTTAATAAGCACTTCACAGTTTAGTGAGTTATGTTAAAATTGAGAAGGTGCCAAGATCTCCACTACTTAAATCCAAAAAAATGTAGAAGAAAAGTTTAACTTTGGTAGCAGAGGTGGGCACCTCATGCCCCTCTATGCCCCCTACTTAAATTCCATTAGCTCTGTCCCAAAAGGAGAGTTATAGGCTGAACTGCATCCCCCTAGAATTCCCATAAGGCCCTAATCTCCAGTACCTCAGAATGTGACCATATTTGGAGATAAGCTTTAATAAAATGAGGCCATCAGGGTGGGACCCTTCTCCAACATGACAGAGGTCCCTATAAGAAGGAATCAGGACACAGACATGTGTAGAGAGAAGACAAGGTGAGGCACAGGGACAAGGGGCCACTACAAGGCCAGGAGAGACGCCTGGACAAAAACGAATGCCGCCAACACCTTCGCCTCAGACTCCCAGCCTCTACAACTGTGAGGAAAGATATCTCCTTTGCTTAACCCACCCACTCAGTGGTGGCCCCGGCACACAAATTCAAGGAACAAAAAACACAAAGGAAACCGGTGTCTTTGTGATGGCAGAGAAACTGCACACAATTTGGAAATAATCAGGGTTTTGGTTCAAAGTAGGTTTGCAATTTATTTCCTGGAGACAATTTACTTAACTCTCTAATCTTAGTTTTCCAACCTACAAACTGAAAAAAAAAAAAAAATTGATGCCTACCCCAAAATTAAATAAGAATATATGGGAAATGAACAGTAAATCTATAAGACCTACCATGCACTGCTGCCTACTATGTGCAGGACACCATCTACCTATCAACAGCTCTACAGCTTTATGGTAACTCTTCATTAGAAATCACTGTCAGTTTTACAAATCAGGAAATGACAGCAGAAATTTGGCGAGAGATCAGGGGGAAAAATGCACTCCCAGGTGCCCTCTTTCTAAAGCCCTGGCTATTTCCAGCTGCCAAGCTACTTCCAGGACATGTGATCACAATGTAGTGATAATAACTGGTGTTTAGCTACTAATGAGTATCAACAACACCACTCATTCCTGGGTGGATCATTGATAAATAAAAACAGGTAAGAGTGCCAGACTGCAGTATTCCTTAACCACCATGAACAGGAAGATAAATCCAAATGACTTAAAAAGATTCAGACATAAAAGGAAGTAAAATCCATCCAACTCTAAAGCTCCTGAGAGGACAAAGAACTTTCATCTTCCTTATCCCAGGAAGGGTCCAGCAGCCCAGCAAGGAAGGTTTATGTCCACTTCAGACACAGAAGTGAAGGCTTACCAGGAGTCCCGTCCAGGGCAGCCTTGGCACCGGCCAAGGTCAAGAGGCCTCCTTCTTTGAGGTGCTTAGTGGCCAGGTGGCTGGAGATGGTTGATGTCCACATGCTTTGTTTCCACATCATGTCGCAGTTTTTAAAAAGAGCTGAACAAAAAGAAACACACGTAGGCTCAGCATTCCCAAAGAAGCTGAAAAGACACTCGCTCAGGCAGCCCGACACTGAGGAAGCCCTCCCAGCCTCTCCCAGTTCCCGTCCCTGTCTACAAGGTCTAGTACAGAATGCACAGGCTCAGCGGCCAGAGAGACACAGGTTCAAGTACAGCTGAGTGACCACCACATCTCAGCTGCCTCACCTGTACACTGGTAAAACTTTAGCCAATAAATTATAGCAAATAAATCCAGAGTTAACGGATTTGCTGGACTGGCATTCATTCAAAGCCTATTTACCTTTTGAAGGGCATCAGATTTATAATCAGAACCTACATGCCTGTGTCAGCTTTTATCCATGATAAAAAGCCAAGGAACTATTACCATATGGCCATAAAGAGGGCTTTTACAGAGCTATATTTTTTATGGCTGAAAAGTTAATGCCAGCTTTAAAAACCCCTTAAAAGAGCTGAAATAACAACCATTTCACACTGGTTTCTGCCAGAGAGATAGAGGAAGACGTGTAACATAAGTCTCACCACCGACCAGGGAACTTACAGGACATATGAAACCCCACGATCCAGAAAGAAGCCTTTCCTGATATGGGAGGAGTGGTCAGCAGATGTGACCCCAGGTATTGCAACTCCTTGCTAAAAAGGACTAAGAAAAAAAAACCTGACAGATCCACATTTATCAGTTCTTCCTCCCAAAATACACAAAAGGTAACGGGGCTGTTTTGCCAAGCTGAGCACCCCATAAAACACCAATCCGACATTGAAATGTGACTCACAGAATTTCAGCTGCTCTTTCAGTGACATTAGTTCATAAATATAAAAAGAATGATGAAATTACAAAACTACTATTTTCCAATCTCCCTATTTGACAGCAGCTTAAGGTAGGGGTTGTTGATGGATACTTAAAATCATTAGGGGAAAAAGATTAGGAGAACCAGATATTCACATACAGCACCCAAGTACCATCCCACAGACCACTTACTCATCACAAACAGGAAAATGGTCCTCTACAAGAGAAGTCTGGCAGTCACCACCCTAACCAAGCATCAAATGTGACATTCCTATAGATAAGGCCATCTGTCATGCTGGCCTCCCAACACGACATAATATGAAGTAAACAGCATCATTCAGGAAGATTTATTGACTCAAAAACATTTAACCTGAATCAAATCTCTAAATCTAACTTCCAGTTCACAGGAAATACCAGGGAGAGAGGAACACGTCAAATGATGCCTTAGAGAAAATGGTCAGATGAATTCTGAATATTCCATATGAAATCTGCCTTAGACACGCCAAAAAGTCTTGGGTGGGAGGAGTTTTAGATTATATAATGCAATTTGACATTATTAATTTGCTAGAATTACTGATAACTTTCTTATGGACAATGAAAATATAGCAGAACGGGCTTTTTCTTTGGAGATTCATGCTGAAATAAGGTCAAATGTCAGCTCATTTTGAAATGGTTAACAAAAACATGCTGAGAGCACATGCCCAAGAAAGCCAGAGCATGCAAGCATGGAAATGCTAACGATTACTGACTTGAGATAGAGTCTATAAGAGTGTTCATTGAATTGTTCTTTCAACTTTTCTGTATGATTGAAAATGTTCATTATAGAAAATTGAAAACTTCGTAAAAGTTCAATTTGGAGTTCTTTCAAACTCAGAATAATCTCTCCAGTTTATGCATAGCCCCCATTCCCAGAATACAATAAGCCCTGTAAGGTTAGGACAGAAACAATGCTGACTCCATTCTGCCTCTACCTTGAACTTCGAATTCAGCATCCCCTGCTCCTCACCCTCCCTGTGGGAAGTTTTTCATCTGTGAAAGAGGTGTCAGTCACTACCTCACACAGTGTGCTATGGTATAATGTGTTCCTCAAGTTCATGTACTGGAAATTTAACTCCCATGTAGTGGTGTTCAGAAGCAGGATGTTCACAAGGTGATTGTGTAATGAGGCTTCTATCCTCACGGATGTACTAATCCCATCAAAACAGGAGATTACTGATTAAAGGATAAATCCAGCCCTCTCCTGTCCCATCTCTCTCAGCCTCTCTTGCCTTCTGCCCTTTGCCATGGGATTATGCAGCAAGAACACTGCCCCAGAGCCCCTAACCCCCACTCTGAACTTCCCAGCCTCCAGAACTGTATAAGGAGTAAGTCTATGCTCCTTATAAATTACCTGGTCTCAGGTATTCTGTTGTATCAGCACAAAACAGAGACATAGAGTTATTATGAGAGACATACAGAAAAACAGCTCTCGCCTGGCACCTAGTCTACACCTGATCCCTGTCAGCAGGACAAAGAGCAGAGCAGAAAGAATGATTAACTTAGAGAAGGACTCACACTTGGATTTGGCATTGCCCCCAGCCCAGCCTCCAGCCACACAGAGAATTGCATCCACCTTCTCTTCACCCAAGAGCTTTCCAACCTCAGCGGTCACCTGAAACATAAGGAGTAAAAAGATACATAAACGAAGTAAAAAGGAAGCAGGCTGGCACCCTGACACTACCTCAGCTTCTTTTCCGCTTCTCGGAAGCCAGTTTACAGTATCTGTCAGCTAACATAGGAAATTACAGAGAAGACTCATCCCCAATGAGCATTTAGGGGGTGAAGCCCAAATGTATTTTAATGTGATTTTCATAATGCAAATTACAGGCTCCTTAAGAATATTCTGAAAGGTGGAAAAATATGTACCTCCTGAAATAAAAGTTAATAAAGAAAAGGAGGAAAGGGTTTTTAGAAAGTCATCTAGAGCTGCATGACCCTCAGCTAACATTCTAGTTTATTCCTTTCCAAACTTTCTTTGCAAATCATTCAATCATAACCTGAGAAGATTGCAATGGTTGATACACATGTCAATTTGACAAGTGTAGATGCTTAACTAAGTAACTCCGTGGTTCTACATTCTAGGGTATAAAAGACATGCCCTAGGGCATACATTTAAGGTCCAGGATATTGTTATGGTTGATTCACTGTGTCAACTTGAGAAGTTCAGAAGTGTAACTAAGTGACTCAGCAGGGAGCCAGGGTCCTCACTTTGTAAACATCCTGAGCCTCTGCACGAAGGTAGGGAGATGCAGTGCTACACACATCCCAGAGCAGGTAGCCTGCCTGCAATATAAGCAAAGGAAACAGGCTGGCTCCCCTGCTTTTTCTCTTGCTGCTTTTGCTGTCTTGCTTTTGCTGTAAATGGTCACAACTAGAGACCATACTCATAAGTGAAATAAATCAGATATACATGTGCAAGCACCACATTGTTTCACTAGTGTAAAACCTGAAAGAGTTAATTTAAACTAGGAGGTATGACAGACATTGTGAAATGATAGGAAAACACTCAAGGGTAAAGGGCAACTGGGATGTGGGAAAAGAGAAGGGAAAGAAGGAGAAATGGTGTATGTATGTATATAGAGGATAGTTAACATAGTTGTTCTACTGTCTTCTATTTCTTTGCTGAAAGAAACTGTCACTGAGTCCTTGATTGATCAATATTGCATGTCTCTAACTGTATTCATGAGAAACCACTTTGAAGATATCAGTATGTAATGCAATAAGCATTGTTAATTTCGTACCACTTTGTTTGTAACTCTGTATTGTCTGTTCTTTTGCTATTTTGTAAAAGGTTGTCTGTCTGTTAATGTTTTCCTCCTTTTATTTTTAAAATTAAAAAAAAAAAATCCATCAAGTGTCTTCTCCTAGGTATCATTTCCATTCCACACTTTGCCAACTACCTGGTCTGCTTGCTAATGTACCTGTTCCCAGGCAACTACTGATCAATCATGTTTGGATCTTCAAACAACAAACTAACTTCTTAGATATCTACTGTGCTCTCCAAAATCAGTCCCACTCGGGAATCATTAGTTATTCAGACATTATCTCATCACTCTCATTTCTGACACAGGGTTTCAGTGGCATCTCACAGGCCTGTGCACCAGTACACAGAATGGTACCACCCAGCACACAAGACATCTTGGCTCTTCAGAGTGTGTTTCTGTGACCACCTTCTGGGTATGAACCAACTCCAGGCTTTGTAAAAAAAAAAAAAGCCTTGAGCTGGGCCACGCTGCTCACACCTTACGTGCCTTCTCCCTCGACACATCATCTGAAGACTCACACAACTGTGATTTACCACCTGGCAAGGCTCTGGCAAAGCTGAGGGGCTGGCCAGCTGAATGCTCAGGATGTGAAATCGGCTTGTTAACTTTGACAATCTGACACATATTGCTGAAGATAGGTATTGAGCTTGTCTGGGAGAATGTCTGCAGATTTCCCGCAGCCTGAAAGAAGTGGGGCTGTCCCTGTTGCTGCACAACATGGCCCCCGCTCTCCACCAACTACCTTTGGACAAGATACAAGTGAACCCTGAAGTAGATGGGATTGTCGCGCAGTCACATAATACAGCAGTGAGGGACCAAACAGCCCTTGTCAGCAGGGTCTGTGTGCACTGTGGGTGTGCAGGAGGCAGAGCAGCAGGTGCCATGGGCTTCACAGTTGCTGCCCTGTGGGAACCACAGACAGCCCCTCTCAGCTCAATCTAGAGCCCCTTCCAGCGCTGCCCTTGTGGGTGTCCCCTGGGCTCCTCATACTAAGCTGCAGCTGGCAGCAACCTCTGTACTAAGCTTTTACTCTGATGTATTTCACTCAGGTCCTACAAAGGGCTTTGCCCCAACTGAGAATCACTTCACCTAAGGTTCAACTGCCATGTTCTTTACAGCTGCGTTCTTGCTGCTGTTGTTAAAGAATTTCCCACTGCTGAGAACAGTACTATATAGACTGGAGCATTTATATCCATACGTGTACTTATTTCCATTCTTTGTGATGTCAACAATAGGAAATTTGGGGGTTTTTTCTTTCTTCTTCACTGGCATGGGCAAACTACTTAAATTCCTATGAATACTTTTTTTTAATTAATGACTAATGTATGGGAACATTCTGAAGGAAAAGATAAAAAGCAAGTATGGTTTGACCTCTTCCCATTAGTGTTTATAGCCTTCACCCCACATTGTCTTAATTTCTGGGCTGCTAGATATCCCCCAAGGATCTTAATTATTCCCTACCTCCACTATGTTTCACCCAATGGTGACTGACAGGGCTTTCTAGGGCCACAAGTCAACCCACGAGGTACTGACCACTGCCCAGTCCAGGGAGATCACAAGGGATCTGCATCAAGACAGTAAGTTGGATTAGCTTTTGTGTATACATCTAGGACTTATAGTTCTGTGATAACTTACTGTAAGTGCAAGAAGCACTGTTTCTAAACCCAAGTACAGACTGCCTAAAACCAGCCGAAGGGGAAAAAAAATAAAACAAAACCTCATTAACTGCAACTCAAAATGCAAAAGAAAAATTGTAAGGAAATCAAGAGAAAAATTATAAGAAAACAAGACAGTCAATGGCAAAATGTTGATAAAGAGTCCAGACGGGTTCATTTTAACGATCTCTCTACTGACTGCTTGAAATTTCAAAGCACTGAATATACAGTTTTAGCCTCTTGTTGTAATTTGCTAGAAGAACCATCCGGCGAGACAGGCCAGTGTGCGTGACTCTATTTCTCTAGAATGCCTGTGGCGATTCCTTCCACTGCTCATTCAGAATCCTGTGCCAGCGGAAACCAATCTTCCTTCTCCCACACACCACACCCAGTGCTCCTTCTAAGATTTCCCCATCCCCTTGGTTTCTACCTAGTCGTCAGGTCTCTTTGCTGACCTTCCCCCTATGACCCTGAGCTGCCCTTCTTTCTGAAGCCACGTCCTGTTGTCCAGAGGCCAGACCCCTGCTGCCATACCTGGACATGCACAGAACCCACGCTTAACCCAGTATTTCTACTTGTTAGGGAAGCGTGGAGCCAGCAGCAACTATGCACCTATTTGACTCTTTTTTCTTTTTACATGTTTTACTTTTACAATAAAATTTACATAAGATTATTTTAAGTTCCCTTCACTTAAATTTTACTTTTGGCCCAATAACCTTCTAGAGATTTAATACCTTTTTCACTTTTTAATGTCCTGTCCTTAGTTGAATTGCCTCCCCAGGGGGCCCATTTTACAGGTATCAGGATTGAATTTCCTCTTGTGGAGCTTTAAAACCCAAAACTGAGTATCATGCTGCCTTTTTAGAAATTCAGAATTGGGAAAGTAGTAGGAGGTAGAGATTTTTTTGGTTTTGGTTTTTGTTTTGCTTTTTTTTTTCCGCAGTACCAGGAATTGAACTCACGACGTCGCACTTGCCAGGCAGGCGCTGTGCCGCTGAGCTAAACCCCAGCCCCTGGAGTTACAGATTTTAAAACTGCTGGGCGTGGTAGCACATGCCTATAATCCCAGCTGAGGCAGGATAATCGTTATGAGTCCGAGACCAGCCTGGGCTACAAAGTGAACTCACAGCCGGCCTGAACTGCACAGCGAGACCCTGTCTCAAAAAGGCAAAAAAAAAGAGATTTTTAAAACTAAACTTATAATAACTAAGACAATTCTCAGTCTTCGTCTTGCCATTCATACTACACTCACACGGACATCAGAGCCTGCCATTACCAGGAACCTGACACACTCACCATAGAAACCCACATCTGGAAGGCTGCAGCTCTCCACACTCAGACTCTGCCCTTCCATTTAATTTTAGGTGTTACTACCTTGTCCTCATTACACTATTTTCTTTGAGGCACCTTAGCGTAGCAGTTAAGAGTAAAGCCATCAAACTTTACTGCCCAGGCTCAAATCCTGGCTATGCCACCTCCTACCTGTTCGATCTTGGGCAAATGCCAGGGTCTTTCTGTGTCTCAGTCTCCTGAATCCTAGAAGGACAATAATACTAAAAAGTTTGTTTTGAGGATGTTATGGAGACTAGGTACATTAATGTAAATAAAGCACTTAGAATGGTGCTGAGCAACTAAAGAGACCTTATCAACTTCACCATTAAACTCATTACGGCCAACTGTACCAATTAAACCTAGCAAACATTAGGAGCATATTAAGGAGAGTAACAAGAATAAAAAACACAGCCAGCCATGCAGACCTCTGTGCTGCACGCCAAGGACTCAACCAACCTCGGATCAAAACGTTCAGGGAAAGAAACTGCTTCTATACAAAACATGTAGACTTTTTTCCTTGACATCACTCCCTACACAATATAGTTTTATCTCAATTTCCCTCCATGAGCGCAAATGACCTTCATAATTACAGAAGCAATAGCTGGAAAGTAAAAGGCAGAGATCCCCAGTGGAAAGCCCCCCCTGGGCTCCCCCGCTACAATGGTGGAGGGATCTTGCTGGAATTACCTGGTCAGCCTGCTCTGTAAACGAGTCTGTCATCTTAACAACAACGCTGGCACTGGCCTCCTCATTCTCCACCACGTCGATGCTGGCAACCCACTGCAGGGAAGGACAAGATCGTTTTGGTGCAGACAGTAAGATGCTAACGCTTAGAAGAGCCACATCCAAAAACTAAGTGGGGGGGTAGTACAGGTAAGGGACTCAAAGCCAGAGTATCTTTTACCCAAAATACACTTGGGACCGGAAGTGTAGGTTTTGCACTTTTTTCTGTTTTGGAATATTTGCATATATCTAACGAGATATTTTGAGAAGGGGACCCAAATCTAAACTGGAAATTCACTTGCTTCACATATGAATGTCCATGGCTTAAAGGTAGTGTTTGACACCATCTTAATAATATTCACATTTTTTGCACATGCAACAAACTTTCATGGTGTGAAATCTTCCAGTTGGGACAGCAAGGGCACCCTCAGAAAGCTTTGGATTGGGGGGCATTCTGGATTCTTGGTTTAGGGATGCTCAACATGCAAATGGAAACTCACTAGTGAAAGGAAGAGGCAGCTGACCTCTCACACACCTTTCAGGGACATGTGACTCTGGCCAACCTGCACCTCACTCCAGCCCACGCTGCCTCCAAACACCTCCCTTCCTCCCCTGTGCTAGACCCTCAAGGGTGAAGTACTTCCAGAGACACCGGGAGTCAGCAAATCTTCCATAGAGGCCAAGAATAATTATATAAGGCTTTGCTGGCCATAAGGTCAAGCACTCAACCCTGCTATCACAGCAGGAGAGCATGGCTACAGAACACAGGGACATGAAGAAGCATAGCAGGTCACAAAGTATTATTATTTTTATTTTTTATTTTTTAAAAGGCTCAGGGTGTAGCTAAGTGGTAGAACGCTGCCGTGCATGCTCAATGTTCTGAGCTGGATCCCCAGTACCACAAAACACATACACACAAACACAAACACAGAACTCCTGATATTTTTTTTTAAATGTAAAACCAAGCTGGTGGGGCTGGGGATTTAGCTCAGCGGCAAAGCGCCTGCCTGGCAAGCGCAAGGTCGTGAGTTCGGTTCCCGGTACCGGAGAAAAAAACCAAACCAAACAAAACAAAACAAAACAAAACCAAGCTGGTTATGGTGCCTCATGCCTGTAATCCCAGCACTCTGGGAGGCTGAGGCAAGAAGATCATTGGTTCAAGCCTACCCTAGACAACTTAGGGACTTAGCAAGACCCTGTCTGAAAACACACAAAAAAATCAGCTCAGTGCAAAGACTGGGATCAATCCCTAATACTACAAAAATAATTTTTAAAAAATCTGCTTAGCTCTTCAGCAGTACAGGTGGCTGACCAGATTCCACCACGGAAAACCAGCATTTACAGGACTCCTGCCCCATAGCAGAGAGTGATGAGCTTTGGGTTTGGGAAACAGAGAGATCGGGGTTTGAATGCTGGCTCTGCCAGAAAGTAGCTTTCTCCTCAAGCTCCCCACCGTGTCCGTTCCCAGAACAAGTAGGTCATTAATGTTTAACAGGGTTAGCATAAGAATTAAGTGAAATGGAAGTGGCTGTCTCCTGCACAGGTCCTCACCAAGAAGGCTACAGGCTCCTTCCATCTGCAAGACCCAGGGGCAATGCCTCCACCTTAACCTGTGGTCACATTTAACAACTCTCATTACTTGGATAACGGAAGCTATGGCCATGGGGAATGCTGAGACCAAAAGGTCCCCATCCAGCCCTCCTCCCTGCCAAAAAGTAAGGCGAAGGGGGGACAAAGAGCTGGAGGTAAATCAGATTGCCAGACTCCACCCTCGGTAACGGTAGACGCCCCCATGAGAAAAAAGCACGGCCTTTCCATCTGTAAGTGTACGTACTAATATAACAGGATATGGGGCATTCCAGACCTAAGGAGGATTAAATGAAATTAGGAGTCTGTGGAGCTCTGATATGCACGGCCCCTGCAGGGATGTGGTCCCCCTCTACCTCTGCAGACCTGGGAAACCCTCCCCATTCCCGCTTCTGAGCAGGTGGGGAGGAGGAAGGGTAGTGTGTTTGGAATCCTCTAGAAGTACATTCCTGTACCAGATTTTGAGCAAGAAGAAAACCCTGGGACCCTCTTTCTGGCCCTTACCCAGGCTACTCCTGCTACTCTAACTAAATTCCCAGGAAGGTGCCTCCAACTCCAGGACGGACTTTGAGCGAATGACAGCAAGAGCTGGGTCAAGGGTCCCCCCGGGCCTCCGATCAGATCTGCGGGTGGGCACCTGACTGTGCAAAGCAGATGAAAAATTCTTTGCAAAGAACCTGTCAGCAGCCACAGGGCTGAGCCTTCAAAATGCGAGGTCCAGCAGGGCTAAAGAGAGGAGCAGTAGCAGCAACATCAGTGACAGCTGGCACTGAACCAGGGTTTGCCGCGTGTGTCAGCTAATGAATGTGCCTTCAAAGGCGCCACCTCCCTCATTTAAACCCTATTTTACTTATGCGGAAAGTGAGGCTGAAGGGCTCCGAGTAATCAATTTAGCTATGAGGCTACTAAGCCGGAGAAGGCAGCCTCATTCTTGAAACGTCCTTCTAGTTCTCGCCTTCTGTTCTGTCGCCCCGTCCCTCTTCCTCCCACTGAGGGATTCTCCCCAGGGTCCAGCCGAACTTTCTGGGCCTCAAGGAGGCTAGGGAGCCCCGCGGTCGCCTGCTGGAGACCCTGTGCACGCACGCGCAGGCTCTCAGCCCCGGGGGGCTGGGGCCACTCGCCCCCTCCAGGCTGCCCCCGCGGCTGCCTCTGGAGCCCCTGGCCGCGATCGCCACGCCCGACCCTCCAGGCGGGGACCCGCAGCCCCGTCGCTTTACCCAGTTGCGGGCCCGGAAGGCCTGCACGCATCGCGAGCCCAGAGCGCCCCTGCCGCCGTACACCAGCACCCGGCGCGCCTCGCCCGCCGCCGCCGCC